GATACTTTACACCGTTGACATCTAATACATGAACGAGTCCATTCTGTGATGTCTTGATTCATTGCTGGCCAGACAAATCTGTCTTCGATCAGCTTTTTGGTGGCACGGATTCCAGGATGTGCCAAATTGTGCAAGGCATTAAACACTTCACGTCTAAAATTGACAGGAATATAGGGGACGTATTCTATTGTTCTCTATGTCACAGTAAATTTTAAGCGTTGGATCAATGTGCAGCGGTTTGTAACTGAAGGGAGGTTGTGGATTTGAGATTAGGTTCTTGAGTTCCTCATCATGCAATTGAGCTTTTGCAATTTCAGAGAAATCTGGGGTAGTGAGGTTGATATTGTTTACCCGAGACAAGGCATCAGCGACACAATTATCAGTACCAGAGACATATCTGATATCTGTACTAAACTGGGCGATGAAATCCAGATGTCGAAGCTGACGAGGAGAACATGAGTCAGAGTTTTTCCTAAAAGCGAAGGTTAATGGTCGATGATCGGTGAAAATGATGAAGTCGTGTCCTTCCAAGTTGTGCCGGAAGTATTTAACAGCACAGTACACAGCAAGTAGCTCTCTGTCATATGTGCTGTATTTCCTTTCTGCAGTAGTGAGTTTTCTGGAAAAGAATGCCATTGGGGAAAGTCCTTTAGTGGTATGGGCTTGAAGCACTGCTCCTATGGCCGTGTCAGATGCATCTACCATTATAGAGAGCTGATCACTAGGTGAGTGATAAGAAAGTGTGGCTGCATTTGCCAGATCGTGTTTGCATTGCACGAATGCTGCAGATGCAGATTCAGTCCAAGGGACAGCTCGTTGATCGTTTTTGCTATTCTTCAGAAACTCATGTAGGCAGGCTTGTGTTTTTGCAGCATTTGGCAGAAAGCGTCGGTAGAAATTTAACATTGTTAGAAAACGCTTCAGTTCAGAAATGGTTTGGGGCTGAGGTAGGTCGTTAATTGCTTTGACTCTTTCCGGTAAAGGTTTAACTCCGTTCTGGGTGATAAGACATCCAAGAAAGGAAACTGACGGTTGACCAAGTACACATTTGGATGGATTTAGTTTTAATCCATGATCTTTAAGGCGAGTGAAAATCTGACGCAGATGTTTAAAATGTTCTTCCGCATCTGTAGATGCAACCAGGATATCATCAAAATATGGGATGCAGAAATCGAGGCCAGAGACAGTACTTGGTGTATGAAACGCTGAAATGTTTGGCCAGCATTGCGAAGGCCAAATGGCATATATAAGTACTCAAAGAGGCCCAAATGGTGTAGTCACTGCGGTCTTGGGCACATCTTCAGCATGCACTGGGATCTGATGATATGCTCTGGCAAGATCGAGGGTAGAAAATATGTTTGTTGTTCCATGAAAAAGATGGGTACAGTCTTGGATATGTGGGACTGGATATCTGTCAGGGACTGTGACGGCATTAAGTCGACGATAATCTCCACAAGGCCGCCAGTCACCATTAGACTTTTTAACCATGTGAAGTGGACTGGCCCATGGACTTTTAGATGGGCGAATGGTTCCCTGTGCTAGCATGAATTCAAATTCTTTGCGAGCAGCTTTTAGCATCTCTGGAGAAAGACGACGAGGCTTGGAAAATACAGGTGGGCCATGTGTTTCAATGTGATGATACACTTCTGGCTGATGAGTATGCTGCCCTGACTTGGATGGGTTTAAAATGTCAGGGAATTCTGCTAATAACCGATGAAACCGGTGTGCTGCCCGATATAAAACACTTATGTTGGTAGGTACATTCGATATGTGAGAAGCTTGGCCCTGTGATGTCAGCTGAGTTGTAGCATCAATTAAGCAATTATTCTTGACATCCACTAGAAGGTGGAAATGTGTCAAGAAGTCGACACCAATAATTGCTTGAGTTACATCCGCAATAATAAAAGGCCAGTTGAAAGTCCGGCGCAAGTTTAAATCAAGTGTCAATAGTTTGGTGCCGTAGGTTGCAATTTGGGTACCATTTGGCTGCATACAGTACAAGTTTATTAAGTTGGTGAGCATTTGTTTTAGTTCTCGGATCATTTGCACTGATATGTCAGCTCCAGTATCTACTAGAGAAAACATAACTGAGTTGAACGATCAGCCAGTACTATTCTGTCGATGTGGCGGGACATTCTGTTGGCCAGCAGAAGACCGCCCATTTAGTTTCCCACTTGTTTCAAAAGTACATGGAGGGGCACACTTGCGAGCTTGAGCAGCCAAAATTCATATGATAAAAACATATGCCACTTGTGGGTTCTTTGTACTGCGTTCGAGTATTAAGACGAGATGAGACTCCTGCTTTCGGGCACGAAATTTATTACGTGGGCCCTGATTTGATCGATTGTATCTCCGTGAAGCATTGAAGACTTGTCAGAGAGTTCAGATACTTTTTTTGTCAATTCAGCCACTTTTTGTTCCGAGGGATGAACTGGAAGGTGCAGCATTAGCAGCACTGACATAAGCTGGAGTAACAAGTTCATTAATTTTGTCAGCCATTGCTGCTAAACGGGTCGGTTAGATCTTCATTGGAAGCAGCAAGAATTATTTGTATGTTATTAGGGAGTTATTATTTGCATGAAAGCCATAGTGACTTCAACAAGTCGTCACTAAAATGGCTTCCTGCCAGATCACGCATTCGTGACAGCAAGTATGAAGGTCGCTGATCTCCAAGTTCAAGTCCTTGTAGTAAAGTAAGTATTTTTGGAAGATTCACTTTCTGATTATAGATTTCAATGAGCCGCTGTTTCAGTTTGGAGTATTTTATCACAATCAGGTGGTTTGAAGAATTAAGTCATGCACTGAATTCAGAATATCAGACTCAATTGCTGCAACTACGTGGTTGAATTTTGTAGAATCCTCACTAATGCGAGCGATAGAAAATTGTGCTTCGATCTGAGCGAACCACAATGAAGGATTATTTTTCCAGAAAGGCGGTGGCTTCACCGCAACGCGTGTGATTTGTGGCTCTGGTGGAATATCGTCGGGCATACTGATAGATAATTTTCACTTTAAATAATAAACACTTAACAGCACAAATATTGTAGCATGAAGATACACTATTGATATTTACCATGATAACAATAAATATTTTAACCATGCAGAAAAAATTTACGTAATGATACACACACAAATAATACAGGGGTCAGCAATTACACACACAAATAATATTTTACCGAAATGCATTTGAAAAGAAACCCTTATTTGAGAAAAAATGATGCATTAATTTTGTATTGCACACACACAAAATCACCACTTCACACTGCTAAGGCACTTTCGAAGGAAAAAAAGGAAATCACTCCTGTAGCACATGGGAAAAAAATTCACTACTTTCGAACACTGAGGGAAGAATTTTGCCGTAGCACGTTGCAGAAAAATTACTGATGTAGCACATTTAGCGAAAATCACCATGGTATCACATTTGTCACAAAAGTTGAATGATCGAAGAATTATTGCACTACTGGCGAAGTCAGCGGAACGGAACAGATCACATTGATGATTTGCTGAAGCTCCTTGTGATGATATGCACGACTTTGAAAAAACACAAGCAATATATATCAATACTTCTAGAAATAATTGAAGGGGTACGTTGTAGCATACGTTTAATGTCCATATTCGTTGTTATTTTTAGTCAGTTCTTCAGAATGCCTTGGATGCACGTGGCTTAGGGTCATTTGAAAATCCATTCTCAGTAGCGTGCTCAGTCAAAAGGTCACCACTTTTGGTGGTCGGTGTGCTTAATGCATGATATAATTAAAGAAAATAAGAATAGACAATCTCCTATAACAAAAAATATATTAAATACTAAATTACAATTTAAATTACATTGCAGAGATCAACACAGAGCTCGGAACACAAGTTCGTGCTAGCGTCGCGTACACTTGTCCGACGAGAAGTCTGAGTGAGTAAAGATGTCGCTTTGCTGCTCTGATTAAGAACTGGATTTTACACGTGGCGCCATCTCATGAATAGAAGTTGAAGTATCTGTCAGAACGCCACATGGATATGGACATGGTCAAGTCAGTGCACAATGCTGAGTTGGTGTAATTCTCTGTTTTTTTTTTAAGTGAAAATAAATTGATGTGTACATGGACACTGAGTTTGTGCAATTCTTTGACTTGTTATTTTGGTTTTGTGTCACGGCCAATGCCTCGCTGGCCATTTGCCAAAAATCCCCAATTTTTGGCATGGAGCACCCTTAAATATATTTTTACCCAAATCAGGTTTCTTTTAAGTAAAAAAAAATTGCTTAAATTTTTGCAGGAGATGCTTGTTTTGTATATTATATATATGTATATTTACATTGTATTATATATATATTACATTGTGTATATATATATATATATATATATATTGTATATATATATATATATATATATTGTAAAGAATTTTGTATAGATTTTAGATCTTAATTATGCATTTTATTTATTTTATGCTATGCTTTCCTTGCATTGCTATGAGCTAGAGCAGTAGCTGTTTATTATATTAGCCTTTTGGTGCAATACTGGAATATTCTGATTAGTCTATTTTAATCTTCAATCTTGCAGTCAATCTGACTCAGTATCATGTGTTAATTTTGTCTTTTTCTTTTTTTTTTTTTTTTTTGTTTTGTTTTGTTGTTGTTGTTGGTTTCTTATTTACACGAACCAAATGATTTCCTACTATTTTATGTTTCCTTTCTGGCCTCCCATTTGAGAAAAACATCTACCAGGCACACCACTTTTAAATACCCACAATGGGATCAACCCAGTGAATGAGTAATAGCTTGATTTAAGCTAAGATTTTATACAAATTATATGTATCAAATATTAGATAGAAAGTGACATTCATTATGATTGGAAATACTAAGGTATAGATGTTTTTAATGTCAAAATAATTCAAAGTTAAATTTATGTGATATCTGTAAATGATCTGAATTATAGAATGAGATTATAAACAAATTTTTAAAGTTGTTATCTCTTGGAATTTCATCGAGAATTTCATCTAGAATTTCGTTTCAGATAATGGTGCAAAGATTGTTAATGAACCATTTACATGTTGTGTATTACCGAATTTTATAAAATCAGATGATTACCTCATCAAGTTGAGAAATGATATTAGTAGACTGGAAATGGATGATAAAGTGAATGATTTATATCAGTTTAAACAGGTGAGATATTTGCTCAGGTTATCACATTATATATCTTTTATAATACATTCTCAACTAATATATATATATATTTTTTTTTTAGTCGAAAGACTTAGGGAGCTGTTTGAGTCAATCTGTTTCTGTACTTAAGTAAGTATTTTGAAATAAAGTTTGAGTATTTTTGCCTATTTCATGTATAATTAATGAGATGTATTAAAATGGGAAAAAAATTACTGCATGATGTTGATGCTTGTATTGTGTATTTGTATGATTTCAAGATGATTATGGTCCTCTTATTCACCTGATTTGTGGTTTACATATTTTTTCTCGTGAAGGAAAAATTTGTACAAATAATCCACACATGTTAGAGAATTAACGAGGAACATTATAATGGTGGTTAACAACAGCAGTGACAATTGCTGCTTAAAGTGGCTCATACAGAATAAAGCTCATACATACATTAATGGAAAGATCTGTTATTTCAAGTATATGTTGTAAAGATGTGGTTTGATATTGCATTTGTATAAGAAGACGGTGAACACTAGTAATTGTATGTCTTGTAGTTTAGGCATTAAACCAACACATTTTACTTTCTTAACTGTGATGCACATGACAGAATCTTTCATTATATAGACTTTTCAATAATATAGCAAATCGATATATAATTGATTTGCTTATTACCAGAAAAAAAATATTATCATTGATTTAACTAATGTATATGAGTATTATATTTTTATTAAAAGGTATATTCATAAAATGAAGCATTTTTATTTGCTTCTTTACATTTAATTACACATTGTTTATTTTTTATTTATTTATTTCTGATCTCCCTCTCTTTTCTAAATAGCTTTTCACTTAGGCTGTACCACTTCTAAATTTAGAAATTAAGTCTTGCCTATGCTAGAGTTTGAAAGTATACTTTAGGCTTCAGACTTAATTTTAATCCTGTGATAACTTTTAATAAAAATATAATACCCATATATATTTTTATATGGATTCTCAAGAAAGTTTTAATTAGTTATTTTACAAAATAGCTTTTACAGGAAAAAAATTTGATAATATGGAAGAAAAGGGGAGAGAGAGAAAAAAGTGTTTTTTAATTTTTACCTTGTGAGAGAAGTATCGATTTAGAAGTCTTAAAAAAGGAACATCATTTAAACATAAAAGAGAAAATTTTATATTATTTTTTTAATATTAAATTGTTCTGTGTTTCTGCTTCCCTGGAAAATACCAGAAAGCCACGAAAAATTTAAAAATATCAACTTTAAAAAAAAAATTGGAATTCCCCCCCTCCAATGGCAGGTGCTTGCCTATAATGGCATTGGGCACTATTAAGGCCAGAAGTGGTGTCTATTTTATTGTGGAGGCAACTAATAGGCAGCCACCGTTAGTCTTATGAAGGGACAGACAATTTTGCATCCATGCCTTCTCCGGGATTTAAACCCGGGCCCTTCGGTTCGCAGTCAGGAAAAATTGGAAATTCAGAAGTATTTCCAAGAAGTCAGTGAAAAGAAATACAAGTAAATTCTCTTGGATAATAATAATAATGGTGATAATGCAGTTATAAATAATAACGAATAAATAAAGATTGATGCTATGAGTGTTTGAGTGGATTAGACTACTGAACACTGGTAGTTCAACAAGATTCTTATCTTAGCAAAATGGCTGGCTGTGTGTTTACATTTGTATCTTTTCCTATGTATCACATTTCCTGTAGGAAACCTTTGTAATAAATAACTATAATTATAAAAATCCTTTTCCCCCACCTTTTAGCACCTTTTAAAGCACCATGGCAGTAATACTTATTATGAATTATGTGCTATTATAAATTTCTATTCCCGAAAAAACAGGGAATGGTGTTAAATGTGGGAAATACCCATGTTGAGTATTTCTTTTGATTTTTTTTTCCTTTAAAAAAATGAGAGCATTAGCATTTTTTTAAAGTAGCTTAGATATATGTTTCTAAATGTATTTTGCTATGATGAATAAGATAAATTTGATTTTTACAATATTCTTAGTTATTTTGTTATATTTTGTGATAAATACATAGATTGTTCATATGATAATTAGTTTAGCATGTTTGGTTAGAGAAATTATTCATTTTAGTCATGAAGAGACATGTAAATTAATAGTTAAATTTGAGAAATTTTTTGAAAATATATTTCTGAATTTATATTATTCTATTATAAGTTGTGTTTTAAAAATTCACGTTTGAAAACTTATCATGTGCAGTTGGCTTTAGCAATATTTGTATACAGTTCTCAAAAATTTTAATTAAAATGATATCTTGAATAATTTCTGATTGCATACAAATTTTTCTCATGCTAATACTACAGAACAATCTTCTCAATTACATTTGCCTTCCTTTTAAAGACTGTTTTAATTTCATTTAATATTGATAATTAATTAGCAGTAATTTGATTCAGAATTTAATTTCTTTTTCCCTCTATAGAAAATTGCTATATGAGGATTGCTTGGAATGGATGAAAAAAGTTACAAACATAGATCTAATGGATAAAATTGATATGTCTTGCTCTCTGTATTCTTACACAGGTTTGGATTTTTCTATTTTTTAATTAAAATGTTTCATACTTGCAAAGTTTAGCAAAACAAAGATTTTTAATGTTTTAGTTTTTAAACTCGCTTTTGTTTTTGTAAAACTAGAAGTTTTAAATTACTGAAATTTGTATAGGTTATTTAATTAATCAATGGAATCCTTTTCACTTATGCATTCTTAATTATATGTGTTTATTTTCATAATTAAAAATAGCATTTTAGTGGCACTGTCTAAGAAATAACTAACTAAAAGCAGTACTGCACTGTTATAAAAAAATTTGTATTATTTATTAGTCTACAAGTCATTACATGATAACAGACAGTTTTATTTTATAAGCAATGAATTCATTTTAATGCATAACCTTTCATTATGTAAATTTATATAATAATTACATAAATAAAATCTAGAAATATTAATAGTAATATTTTTTCTCATCTTTTAGTAATTATCATTAATAATTTTCAATTTCAAACAATTTTTTAGAATTTAGTAGCTATAAAGGGCAAACTGTTGTTTATGTAGACAAGCTTACAAATTATAACATAGTAATGTATTTTTTCATCTTTTAGTAATTTGTAGTTAATAATTTTCCATTCCAAAATATATGTATTATATTCAGTTTGCTGTAGTTACCAAAAATATTCATTTCGCTTTGTTTTTTCCCTTGAGAATAATATATATATATATATATATATATACAATATACTGCTAATTAGTGTTATTTTGTATCATATCATCATTTTTTTTTTGTTCTTCTACCCAGAGTACCTATAGGTATTAAGTGAACAATAATTATTATTGCTGTTATTATATGTAACATGAATGTATGATATTTATACAATAAAGCTCCTAAATATCTGACATTACATTTATGAGGCTCATGAATATAATGCTGTTGACAGTGATCATGAACGTTATGATGTGTCTTATTTTAACTTAGATTAAAATAAATATTAGTTATCTTAAGTTATTAGTGCTGATTTTTTAGCACTAGTAATTTTTGAGTGCATGATTACTGTTGGAACAGAGCAGTTCTAGGCATATTGTCAAGTGAAAATAGTTCTGGTGGTAAATTGTTCATTCATGTGATGGACTTACTGAAGAGAATTCAAAAGTATATTCTCATTCTTTTTATTTTTAGCTGCTTTAGTGTTTAGTTAAGGCACACTGTAAAATATATTAGTTATTTATTGTCTTTTAGATCACTTACTTTGCCATGATGATGAGCTAGAAGGCAGGAGAATAGCTTTTATTTTTTACTTAGTTCCAAAATGGGAAGAAAGTGATGGTGGAAGATTAGATTTATTTGCAAATGGTGAGATTTTCTAATTTATAGATTTTACTATAATGCAATTTATAGCAGGTGTTTAGTTATGTAAGTGCATTTATGGATTAAAAATGTTTTTGCTTTCCCTACAAATTAAAAAAAAAATATTTTAAATTACAAAATTTAATTATCTTGAAAATGGACCAAAATTATCATTTTAAAATTAAGGGAGGGAGAAAGGCATTCTGGACCAAATATGTTGTGTGTGGTTGTTACTATTAAATTTGATGCGGATGGTGCTGCTGTTATGAACGCAGATTATTTTTATTTTATCATGCGACTGCTTGCACTTTGGTGACGAGAGTAGATGATTTTGTTTTCTGCTGTTATTCATTTCGCTGTTTTTTTCCTTGAGAATAAAAAAAAGTAATTTCATACAATATGCTGCTAATTAGTGTTATTTTGTAAATCATCATCATCTTTCCTCTGTCCTTCTACCTGGAGTACCTATAGGTATTAAGTGAACAATAATTATTATTGCTGAACTGACTGTTGCTGACACATTTGAGAAACATGTTTCTGCTACTTCAGTTAAAGGTAAGTAATCTGTACTATTTTCATAATGGACTTGAAATAAATCATTATTAATAAAAGAAATGAGCCACTAAAGGAAATTCTACTAATTTGAAAGATAAAATAAACTCAGACATTGCTAACACAAATAGAGCAAAAATTAAACTTTTTTTTTTGGGGGGGGAACAAAAAAAAACGTAATAATTTTAGATGTTTCATACATTTTTGATAATATTTATATAACATGTTAAGAAAAGGAATGTTGAAAAATTTCAAACAGTTCACTTGGATTTAAAATGACAACATTCTTGCCATGATAATTTTAATTCAATTAGTATTAAGCATGATACTACTGAAGTAAAACTTCTGAATTTAAATTTACCTACCTTTAGTGGAAGTTTTACATTTAGCGACCTTTCTAAGGCTGGTGTACTTAATAAATTATCAGATTCTCAAAGGCTTCAATATTTAAAAGCCCATGTAAGGCTTTAGCTCTAAAATTAATTCAAGCTATGCCTATTTCAGATTCATATTATAATTGCTTGGGATTTGCTCAAAGATAGATTTTCAAATAAATGAAAACTGGTAAATGCATTAATTAAGAAGCTTATTATGCAGCCAAATATTTTTGATTCGGTGGATGTTATTTAGATTCTCATCGACATTAATAATTCGCTAAGTGTATTAGAACAAAATGTTGAAAGCTTTGATGATACATTGATAATTCATTTATTTGTAGAAAAATTGGATAAAAAATGTGTGCAATTGGTATGAGGCAGTTAAAGGCTGATCAACTACAAACATTAAATGAATTACATACTTTTTCAAAAGAACGTGTTAGAACACTCCACAACAGTAAAACCATTTTGAAGGGAAGAAAGATAAATTTTTAAATCACATCATTGGTTAGAAACTGCTACAAATTATCCTTATTGTAAGAAAAATTATGACTTATATAAGTGTGTTCAATTCAGTAAGTTGCCTGTTTACAAGAGATTCGGTTTTGTGAAATTTAACAAATTTTGTTTTAACTGTTTATCTACTTGTATGTTCATAAAGTTAAGGCTTGTACAAGTAAAAGCTTGAGCAGATACAAAACATTCATCATAATCATCATTCTTTACTACATTTTACGAAATCTCAAGATGCTGTTTTACCTGCTTTTTAATAATAATGAGTAACAAATATGCTGTTTTACTTGCTTTTAATAATAATGAGTAACTGTTCATAATAATTTCAATCAGGTAAACTCTAAATTTGCGAATAGTGGAACTATAAACAAACAGGTTTTGTTATGCATTGCTGTAATCAGAGTTCATGATTCAGTAGGTAATTTCATACAATGTTGATTCTTATTGGATTCTGGCTCACAGGCAAATTTTATTACTCAGAGCTGTATTTCAAGAAATTGTATAGATAGAATAAAAAGGCAAGAATCCAGATATCTTGCCCAGGATCAGCTGCATCTGAAACAAATGAACTGAAGATTACCCCCCCCCCATTTTGGTTCAAAACCTTCCTTTAAAGCTTTTGTTTTAGTTAAAGACAAGGATTGTGGAAACTTACCATACATACATGATTACCATCAAATATTGTGAACTCTTTCAATGATCTAGTTTTGGTAGATCATACATTTCATGAATCTGCTACAATAGATATTCTTCTAGGGGTCAATGCTTTCATGTCACTTGTTTTGGGTGAACCAATTAGATGAAACCAAGAATTCCCAATAGCTGTTTGTTCGAAATTAGGTTGGATCATTTCAGGAACAGAATTATTGTGAACTCTTGCATATCATTAAATAATTTTAGAGTTAAATGCTGAGGAATTAGTTAAGACATTTTAGACTCTCAAAACAATCCCAGAAGAAATTGTTCTCATTAAATCTGAAGCAAATTGTGAAGAATATTTTAAAAAACTCTCATAATGGAGACAATGCAGGTAAATATGTAGTAAGATTACCATTCAAAACATCACTATCAGAATTAGGGGATTCAAGAGAATTAATGTTGAGGAGGTTTCTACTTTCATGAAATAAGTTAGTTGGCAAAAATGAACTGTATAAATTATATACGGGATTTTTTTATGAATATTTGTGTTTTTAACACATGGAAGTCATATCTGGTTCTGAATCCGTTCCTCCAGTTGTTTATTACTTACCTCATCACCTACTAAATTAAGATTTGTATTTGACGCATCAGTAAAACATGCAACGGATGTTCTCTTAATGACCCGCTGTACATAGGCATTAGAATTCGTCCAGAATTATTTGAAATTCTCATCCAATTTAGAACATATTCTATTGCTATCTGTGGTGATATAGAAAAAATGTAGATAAATTCATGTGCATCAAGAAGATACAAACTTTCAACACATTCTTTGGATAAATCATGTGACTGAACCAGTTCAAGAATATCAATTCTTATACGGAACTTCCCTTGCACCATTCTTATCAACTTGTTTTCTTCTCCAGTTAGCTTTAGATGAAAGGATTTTTCAAGGCTTTGGAAGTATCATCTAATGTACCTGATGTGTTAGAAGAGCTGCCACAAGAACTCAGAGAAAATGCTGTTCAGTTGGAAATTTTCAAGGAACAACCAAGGAAGGTGTTGGGAATAAACAGGCATCCCATACACATTTGATTTTAACGTACTGCCTTCTGTAATTTGCATTGTCACTAAAAGAAATGTGTTGTCTAAAGTTGCAAGACTCTTTGGCTGGTTAGCCCCAGTTATTAGTTCTGCAAAATATTTCAAGACTTGGGGAGTGACAAGCTAAACTGGGATGAACCTTTTAACCCACAACGATCGCCGATTCAGATTTGCCTTCCTGGAGACTTAAATTTGCTTAGTAAATTAAAAATTCTTAAAATGATTTTAATTACTAATTTTCATAAGATAGAGTTACACGTCTTTCGTGATTCATCCGAGAAGGTGTATTTTGCAGTTATTTGTGCTAATCTTTTTCTGAAGAAGAAATTTAAATGTTATTGATATGAGCAAAAGGGAAAAAAAAAAAAAAAAAAAAAAAAAAAAGTTCCATTACTTGAAATGCAATTCTTAACAAGACTAGAATTGTGTGCTGCATTATTGTTAGCAATCTGCTCAAGGAAGTGATAAAATGTTTGAATGTTCTTGCTAGTAACTGTTTTGCATGGTCAGATTCTACTATCACCTTATTCTGGATTGCCCTTGGCTCACAGAGATGGATTTCTTTCATAGCCAATCAAGTGTCAAAAGTTCAAACCATCATTCCTGAGGTGAAATGTAATCACGTTCAATGAAAAAATAATTCCGCTAATTATGGTACTAGAGACTTACAACACAATGAATTAATTGATTGTGATCAGTGGTTCAGTGTACCTTCCTGGTTATAGAATTATTATCCAAAATCTGCACCGGATGGAGAAATCGACATCCTTTCTTTGCAAATTTTCATCTTGGTCAAAATTATACTGTAGCGTTGCTTATTGTTTAAGATTTATCAACAATTGTTTGAAGCTCATTTCTAAGATAAAAGGATTTCTTGTTAGTGAAGAACTTAATAATGCAAATTGTATGATAGTAAAATCTTTACAATATTCTGAATTTCCTGACAAAATATCAAGCTTAAAGAATTGGAAATCTGTGAAATCGAACAGCTGAATAATCTCCTTAAGTACATTTCTTGATGAAAAAGGAATTATTCATGTTGGAGAATTCAAACATTTTGGAAAATCAAAGGCATTCCATGCTTATTGCTCAAAAACATTTCATTTCTAAGCTTATCATTAGACATTATCCCAAAAAGTATTTGCATGCCTCTTATGCACTTTTACTTTCTATAATACAACAAAATTTTTTGATTGTCAATGCTCAATCTGGAATAAGTAAAGTCGTTAAAAATTGTGTTGTTTGCTGTAGATATCATGCTCAAGTTGCAAGACAAAGAATGTCTGATCTTCCATTGTCCAGAATAACAAATTCACAAACTTTTTCTTGAGTTGGGATGGATTCTGCCAGCCCATTCATTATAAAACACAAAGCAGGCCATGGAAAAAGGGCTTTCAAGTGTTATGTTTGTATTTTTGTTTGCTTTACCACAAGAGAAGTTCATCTTGAAGTCACTGAAGATCTTTCTTCTGAGGCTTGTGTGGAAGCATTAAAATGGCTTATAGCCAGGAGTGCAAAACCAAGGGAAATATTGAGTGACTGTAGGATGAACGTCAAGAATGCTAGCAAAGAAATGCGTAAGGCTTTCTTCTTATGTCAATGAAATTAACATCTCCATTCTTTTCTGACTTCAGAAAAGGAGAAATGAAATTTCAAGCCTTCAGCCGCACCATATTTTGGATGACTTTGGGAATTTGCAGTAAAATCACTGAAGTATCATCTTTGAAGATCAGTGAGAGTGATTCTGACTTATCCCAAATTCGTGACCTTGATAACATAGGTTGAGGCATGTATTCAAGGCCTTTGTATCCATAATCTGATGATACAAATGATATTACTATTCTCACACGGGGCACTTCCTAATTGTACATTTCTCATATGGAAAATTTAAAACAGTAAAAAAACATTCTTGACTTGTGGAAGGTGAAACAACTCATTTCTGAAAATGTTTTGGAAAAAATGGAGCCACGAATATTTCTGAGTTACAACATCGAAATAAGTGAAAGAAATCTCAAGAAAATTTGTCTGTAAATGACTTAGTCCTGATTAAAATTACAGCATGCGCACTTGGCAATTTTACATGAGCATGCGTGCATAGTATTTTTTATGACATCTGTTATTTTACTGTTTTTGGCACGAAAAATGACAGAAATGAGGGAATATTGATAATAAATTGGTTAAGAAATAAAATATTAATCTTATTATTGCAAAATACAAATGATATCACATTCAAATATAAGTAAATTATTTTTTAAGTTCTTACGTTAGTGAGATGGAAATGCAATGATGTATTTCATTATAGAAAATTTTAAATTTATTATTTAATAATTATATTTTAAAATCGAAGCTAATTTTAATATTCATCAAAGACAAGTATAGACAATAAAAAAGGAAAACACCTTGGTAGGAAAAAAAGTAAGTTTAACATAGTTAGTTAGTTAGTTAGTTACTGGTTAAAAAAACGCACTTTAAACTAACTTTAATGTTTTTATTTATTTCTAAAAAATAGAAATAAAAGCAAATAAGGAATGGAAATCGCTATTGTTCTCCCATCCAAAGGTTTCCTTTTCTTCATCAGATAAATCTTGAAGAATCCGAGCAAAATCAGCTGGTTGCATATATTTTTTTTGCCATGAAAACCGATATAAAATTTACAGAGCCAAATATATTCACATTAAAACAATACATGCCAATTAATAACACAAAATTACAAAATATTTGAGAAAAAGATATTTTCCGAATTTTAAAACACGACCATGCGTGTGTCGTAAATTTTATGAAAAAACTGCCACATAGCACAAAAGCCCACTTAAACAAAAAAGTCAAATGACTTTCTGTTGGCACATTCCATGATGTGGGGAAGGGTAGAAAGGAGGAATAGAAATGACCTACAGATGTCTCAGCTTCGATATGGAAAAATGTGCATTAAAAACTGAATTTGTCGTAAATTTTGCGCATACGCGCGTGCTGGAAGTTTAAGGAAGAAAACATACCACCTCTTCAGTCTAAATTTGGTAGAATAATTCATGTGTATCCCAAGCTGGATAACAATGTTTGAGTTAGTAAAAATTCGAACTGCCAATGGAAAAATTAAAAGAACTGTTACTAAGTTCTGCATTTGCCTGGCAAATACCGTGAATTCTGAACTTTTTAGAACATTGGCTTATTACACCTTTTAGTTTTATTATTTTGCAAGTTTTTCATAATTTGTCCCTAATATTTTTATAATTTTCATGTCATTTTGGTTTTTGTCTTTGAAGCTGTTGGTGTACTTCAAAGGGGCATGGTATGTTATTAAATTTAAGTTGATACAGATGGTGCTGTCATTACCAGGGTAGTTTATTTTTATTTTATCACTTGACTGCTTATGCAGTGACCAGAGTAGATGATTTTGTTTTTCTGTTATTCATAACATATATATATATTTTTCGGCTTGAGAATAAAAAATGCAATTTCATACAGTCCACTGCTTATTAGTGTTAGTTTGCATTGCATGGTCAGTAGTAAAAGTCTGTATCTATGAGCCTGAAAATTTTATCGAGTTAAACTTCTGTAATATTAAAATGTAAACTTATTAATTATAACTTTATTTTTCAGGCTCTAATTATTTGTAGAGAAAGACAAAAAGAGAGGATTTAATGAAATAATAACAATTTTATGAATGTTCATGAACTTACAAGTTTTGTATTGAAAACAAAAATTGTGGAACAAAACAATTATATTTACTTCTCTTTTCATGTATACAGCATAAAGTCCGAGGTCCAGAATCATCAAGACTTCAGCTATTCTGGATTTTGAAAATTTCTAGATTTTAGATCACCATTTTAAATCTAGTAAAATAATATGTAGACATGGCAACACTGGGTCTTTTACTTATTTTTTAAGTAGGATAGGAAAATGCTAATCCCCCACACCCATTCAAGCTAAAAGTATAAGAATTGCAATATGAATACAATGCCATTAAATGTGTTGTCATTGACCACCATGTGACTCCCTATCCAACAGGTATTTGAAAGTGACATGCAGAAATATTAGTTAGTTTGAAGGAGAATCACATTTAAGGCACACCTGCTTCATTTTTTTTTTTTTTTTAAATTTTATATTCTGCATTCCTAGACTTTGTAGATTCCCCCTTAAGCTGGTGGTCTGGAGGTTTGGATTTGGAACTTTGTAATATATTAAAAACTACTTAAATATTCTTTTTTGTCACTCTCTTCTTGTGGGAGGCAAATTTGTTTTATTTCATCCAGGAAGCAAAACTATTTCATGTGGCTTGATTAGCATACACATTCCTACAAATAAAAACTGAAAGTGTTTTTTCTCCTTTTACCGGAGCATGTTATTTCATATCATGCTTCTGATATCTTTGCTATTATAGGTGAACATGCTTGTTTTTAGATCTTAAGAAAGAAGTTTGGGGTATGTTTTCTTTCCTCCTCCTTCTTTAATCATACTTTCATATTTAATTTCATCCATATCATTTCCACCAGCAACAAATATCGTTCTTTCAAAATTCCTGCATCTTGAGTTGCAGACCCTGAGTACTCTGAATTTAACCCTGGCTCATTCCTGTGCAAATGGGCTGCTGACTGCATGGTTGTTTTTTATGGTTTCTGCATGTATAATATGAATACAAGTCAGTTTTATTATAAAGTCCTCTACAGTGGCATCCTACCTGTTAGGCAGATAGCTGTCATGTGCTTTACTACACACCAGTACAACCAATCTCAAAATTCCTAATGCCAATCAGTTACACATTTGCTACTCATTTTCAAATGATGCACAATAAATTCACTTGAAACATTCTGCATCTAGCAATATGTTTATAACAATATCTTAATTAAACTTAAATTTCACCTACAAAAGATCATATACTCTTCCTGATACTATGCCTACTATCATGATTATTCTTATCAGTTGTTATCAAAAACATGACTGTGCCACAGCCATCAGATATCTTTTTTCTTCCGTGTTATTTTATTTCATTCTCATACTGTCGACACAGATAATTTTTTTTTTGGCTAGTAAGCCAATTTTAATTAGTTACAAGCTATTAGTAACTTTTTAATTAGTGAATTTTTCGTTAAATGATCAGTCTTTAGAAGTAAGGTGAAAAGCAAGGGGCAACCTGTATGAAATATATTTTTGTCATTGAATTAATATGTAAATTAATATCAGTTAAATATAATAAATGAAATGATTTTTAAAAAAATTTTGTACTTATAGTTCCAAAATTATATTCATGCGTGTTTTACAGATAATGGTCAACCAACAGAAATATGTACATCATTTATACCATTATGGAATAATTTCATATTTTTTGAAGTTAGTCCAGTTTCTTTTCATCAGGTAAAATATTCATACTATTTTTTTTTATTTATATTATAAAAAAACAATTTGAATTTGATATGTACAGATTTAATACAGTTTTAAAAGGTTTAATTTATGAATTAAAAAACTGTCCTAAAAATTAGCAAGTTATTATTTTTTGTCAAAATAATATTTTTTGTTTTAAAGATGTGTAAATAATTTCCTTTCTGTAGGTTGCATGTATGTATCTGCTGTGTCAGAACTTACGATAGAATAATTTTAAATAGTTACTTTATTATAAGTTCATCATCCAGATTTACGAAGCATACACTGCATCATTTAGTAAAATCCATGAGTCATTCACAAAAACCAGCTTAACTCACAGTTAGGTAAGATTTCTACACTGAATGAATTACATATCAATTAAACATAATGTGTTTACAATTTTTTTGAATTATTAAGTAAATTTTGAAAATTACCTGTTATTATTTAAAAATTAATCTCAGTTTACCGGCCTTTCTGTAGTTATTTAAATATTATTTATAAATTAGCATGTGCTGTTATCAAACCTTATTTTTAAACAAAAATTGTTGTTGGCTAGTGCAGCCACCTAGTGAGGCATTTCTTAAATATTTGTGTGTCCCAACATTACTCTCTTATGGACAATGTAAGTTCAAATTAAATACAAACTTTAAAGAGGGGGTGGGGGAGATACAAACCTCTTTCACCTGTCATTGGATGTAACACTAAATTATCTTCAAAGGAGCATTCTCTGTATTATCTATGTTGATAATTCTGTGAACCACACCATTGATCCTAATGTTGAAGAAGATCACGTATCTGCTGCATAAGTGCATATCCACAGTTCGAATAGGCATATCTTCCATATTAAATAAGTGCACAAGCTTCCATGTGGTGTTAATTTGTGGTGAAATAATATCATACAGTAGTAGTAGTAGTAGTAGTAACGGAGGACCATCCCTTTACCATTTCGGTTAATCGGTTCTGCCCACATCCGCCCTTATCTAGTATTTATTAATAAATCAAAGGTTTTTACATTGCCATATAGTGTGCCATATAAAAAAATAAATAAAAATAAAAATCTTAAAGTAGTACTTTATAGTCTTTCATGAAGTGTATCTTTGTAATTAATTCTTTATAAAATGTCGAAATTTGTCCTTAGTAAAATACATTTGAAACTTATTCCCTCGTTCTTCTTCAAGAAGTTCTTCTTTTTCGTTCTTCTTCTTTCTTCGTCTTCTCTTCCTTTAATATTCTTCATTAATCATTGTTAAATCTTCCTTTCTTCTATCTTAATTTCTTTTCTCCATTTTACATGTATTTGCTTCCTATTTATGGTTATAGAAAAGGGTTATAGAACCATTTGACATTTTAAACAACACATTTTGACTGTAAGATTTTTGTGTCCTGTGTCTTTAGTTTTTGGAGATGGGCCTATTGTAACTGCTAAGCCTAAAGCTGTTTCATATCTTAAATTGGAATCTGCATGCCAAGATCATATTGAAATTTCTTTTTTAAAACAAATTTTCGTTTCAACTTTTTGAAAATTTAATGGTACAGATTTCAAGATGTTGAATAGCAGTGTGAAGTTTTAAGATTGTAATTTTGATTTATCCCCCAGCCCTATTTTTTTATTTCTTCTTGAATCTAAATTTTCCATCAAATCACTTTTGCATCTAAAGAAAAAAAACTTTTATCCCAGGTAAAATAACTGATAAAAGTGCACTACAACACAAACAAAATTGGAAAAATTAACATTGTTTTAAAAACTAAACAACCCAGAAAATAAACACTTTGAACATTGTCGGAAGATTGTTTTGGTTTATTTGATTAAGGCAAAGCACTCAAGGGCTATTTGCCTAAGGGGAGCAAAGCCTTTGTAGAGGACTTTTAAAGGAAAACTGGCTCGTATACTGTTACACATGGGGAAAACAATGAAAACGGCCATGCAGCTAGCCTGTTTGAAGGATTTGACCTGATGTCAGACAAGACTACCAGTGCTCAGTGACTTTACTGCTGATTGACTGCTGGTGAGCTCTTGTCAGAAGAAGAACAACTCACATTGCAAGTAAAATGAGTTCATTTGGGCAATGTTAAAATCTAAATTATTTCAGTTTTTTTCTTCTCTTAAATTATAAATAACTGAAAATGTAGAATCATGTGTGAATGAATATCTGGCAGGATTTTATAATGTGTATAAATTATTAAAAGTAAGTAATGAGATTAAATACAATTTTGTAATTTTTTTTATATTTAATTTTGCATTTACTAAAGTTTCCTAAATTTATGATTTTAAAAATATTTTGTAGGCTCAAAAGATTATTGGCCGTTAATTAACAAAATTTTAAAATCCTTTTATTTTTTTATTTTTTCACTTTTTTTTTTTTTTTTAATAATACTGGTACTTTACTCAGTTGCTGTTTCATTTATTGTGCATTTGATGAAATAAGTTTTTTTTTAAAGTTATATATATTGTCACATATTGGTTATTAGTTGCCATGCATCATTAGCTGATCTTTTCTGTTGATATGCCTCTATGCCCTCTGGTGGTCTTAGTACGTTTTAAATTATCAAAAATATGTTAAACATGCAGCAGTTATTTTTGAAATGACAACAACAAAAAAAGGGAAGATGGGAAGATCAGTAGTAAATTTTCTAAATTTGTATTATGATATTAAAGTACTAGTTTTAAACTTGATTACAATTTACATTTTCTTGATGATTCACATATGGACATGTTTTGATTATTTATGAATATATGTGTATGGGCAGTATAATTGCTGGAATAAAGTTTTATTAAAGTTGAATGGTGCGTAAATCTAAGCAAGCATGTATGTATTGTGTAATTGCTGGAGTTTCATTAAAATTTAAGCTGGTGATTAGATGGCATAAAGGTGGAACTTGTGAAACCTTTGAGCAGAAAATGTACAGAAATAAAAAAACATTTTGGAAAGAAGTAAATACAACAAAACTATGCTTGCATTAATTTCTTATATATATCTTTCTACTTAACATTTGTTTCTTGCATATAGAGTCTGGTAGCCATGTATTTGTAGTTGCTATTAATTTGACTTTAAAACAGTTTTCTTTTCCTTTGTACTGGTACTGCTATTGCAAATGGTATCTAGGAACCTTATAATTAATACCCAGCCTTTCTCCTGCCTGCAACTTTTAGCATTGCATCTCGAAATGCTGCCTTGAGCTGCCACATTTCATGATAATTTTTGCATATTCTATTGCAAGGAAAAATGCCTTTTTCTTGAAAGAATACTTACTCCTTGTTAAATAAAAACTGAGAACATATTTTGCACCTGAAAGAATAATTAATATATTGCTGTATGCATATGGGTTCGTAATAGATTGAATGCACAAGTCCGATAAAAAGATAATAAAATTCATTCATGTTACAAGAAATATAGCAAAACACTGGGTTTTTCCTCAAAAATATTCATACAATATCACACAATTTAACAATAGCTATATTTTAAACTAATAAAACGTTATATAGAATGCAATCCAAAGCGCAGAGAAAGTTAATCCGCTGAACAAAAAGTATGGCAGCTAAGTGAACAACAACTAATAAACAACTACTGAGCTGAGATGTTTCTCTCCAGCTGTTATGGCCTTTTAAATCAGTCATGTGAGATAGTTCTAGCAATTTCTGGAAAGCAAAAGAGAGTAGAATTACGGTTACAGCTAACAACTTAGTCAATTAACATTTATTTGAATTAAATATAAATTACCAAGAAAAACTTTTATTCAATGTTAGATGCACATGTTCTTGTATTTTTAGTTTTCCAGTGTAGCTTTCTCTTAAAATACATCATGCGCTGCATTGCATGGGGAAAAAAAAAAAAAAAAATTCTATTTTAAACCTTTTAAAAGTATCTAACTAAATGCAAAATTCGTAACACGACTTCCCAACGACTGCATGTCGCAGACAGTACAATCCCTGGACTGGAAGCCATATTTACAACTAAAGCATCAATTCAATAATACACATTACATTACGATAACATACAACAAACAATAATTGCAATAAGTAACTTAAAATAAATCAAATATTAATAAATAAATGACTACACAAATTTACAAATTTAGAAACAAAAATGACCATGGTCTTGTACTATTTACATATATACAGTACATACTATGGCCATAATAAAGAGCTAACCTGTCGTAATGAACGACTTTAGGCTTAGAATTTGATGACTTAGGGATCTGATCCACGATGTCGTTTAGCCTAAATTGTTGAGCTAAAGCTTTCCGAATGATGGTAATATTAACTCCTGTGTCAGTGATCATATTGCAAGGAACTCCATCGATATGCCCATTGATGAATAATCCATTACTGTTGTAGAAATTTTGAGTGCTTTAAAATTGGATTTTTCTCTATCATTCAAACTCCAATATGACAATTAATTTGTTCCCTGCGTCGTTACTAGGAAACAATCTTATTTTCCGTGCCCTGGGGTGTTCTGCAATTCCTTCTTATGTGGCTTTCAGCTCCGCAATTCCAGCGCCTTGATTTCTTGGCCCTCCTTTTCCGTCTCCTAGCATTAAATTGTCTGTCTTATTTTCCGTGCTCTGGGATGTTCTGCAGTTTCTTCATATGTGGCCTTCAGTTCCACAATTCCAGCATTTTAGGGATGGCTTCTTTTCACTCCTATTCCGACTCAAGGCACTAACTAATCTTGTCAAATCATCTGCTTTATTTTTCATGCCCTGGTGTGTTCTGCAGTGTCATTATATGTGACCTTCAGTACCACATTTTGAACACTTTAGAGCCAGTTTGTTCTTAATCTTACTCCATATCAAAGCATTGACTTGTCAGAATAATTCATCTAAATGAGCCATTACTTGATCCACTGGCTCATGGACTTGCTCATGGACTCTGACTGGGTAACGGTCTCTACCAGTTGCTTGCTGGGCTGCCTCAAATTTCATAGTGTACACTAGAGTGTTTTTCAAATGTTTGACATCCACCATTCATAGAGCTTTCTGTATTTCAGGATCCTGGATGCCGTAGATAAAGTGTTGCAGAGACAGGATTTCCCTTGTTTCTGTCAGGCACTTTAAAAAGGCGAAGTGGGACAGCCTTTCAACATCTGTAGCAAGCTCCTGGTGTGTTTCCATTGGCTTCTAATAACGGGATTTTAATTGAAGTCTGTTGTAGTCTTTTAAATGCTTCTTCCCAAAGTGCAGCTCCAATGTGCCAGATAGAGCTTCAAAATCTAGCCTTTTGTTTTCTGGAAGAGTCTGTAGGATATTTGCGGCATCTGCTCTCGTAGAAGTGGCGGGAGGGCAGGTCTTTTCTTGGGGATCCCATCCATTCGCTTCTGCCACTATAGAAAATTATGTCTTATATACTTTCCAGGATGTCTTCCCATCATACGTGGATAACATCAGACAGGAACGAGCAGGCATGGGTAAAAATTTAAAATCATCATTATTGCTCCATGGAGTCACTACGAATTTCTTCAAGGTATCAATTTCTTTGGCAACCACAGTAACCCTGTCATCAATTTGTTCCACGGCAGAAACTCTTTCTTCAATGTGTCCAACTTTATTTTCAACCGCGTCAATTCTGCCTTCCATATTTTTTATTATGCAGATAATTTCTATTTTCATTTCTTCTCTTCCTTCAATCTTACATGTATGGCTTTCACCTCTGCTTTAACTGATTCTTGACCAGCCGACATCTTTGCTTGAAGAGCTTCATTTCTTCTTTAACTGATTTTTTACTAACTTATCTTTCCTTGAATGGTTTTTATCTCTTCTTTAACTGATTCTTTACCATCTGCCATCTTCTTTTGACCTGCTTTCATCTTCTCTTTAAATGCAGCAAAGGCTGCAATCAGCTGTCTTAACTGCTACTCCATAAATTTCATTTTCGGCATTCAACCCGACTCCTGACACCAAAAAGTGCTGCATGTGTATGGGTCTGTAATGGATTGAATGCACAAGTCTGATAAAAAGTTAATAAAATTTATTCTTGTCACAAGAAATATAAAAAAAATGCTGGGTTTTTCCTCAAATATATTCGTACAATATCACAATATAAACAGTAGCTATATTTTAAACTACTAAAACATTAAATAGAACACAATCCAAAGTGCAGAGAAAGCTAATCCAATGAACAAAAATTATTGCAGCTAAGTAAAACAAAACTAAGAAAAACTACTGAGGTGAGATGTTTCTCTCCGGCTTATGGCTTTTAATTGGCCAGTGAGATAGTTCTAGCAATTCTGAAAGCAAAAAAAGAGTAGAAGATGGTTATAGCTGACAACTTAGCAATTAATTTATTCAAAATATGATTACCGAGATAAACTTTTATTCAGTTAAAAGCATGTGCTCTTGATTTGGAATTTATTGGCATAGCTTCTCTTAAAATGCATCACGCGTGCATTCACGGGGAAAATAAAACAATTTAATGATAAATATAAAAATATCTCACAAACTGAAAAATTGTAACAGATATTTTCATTTCATCTACAATATGCAAATATTTTCAGCAAAAAGGTGTTATGAAAGTAAAAGTGTTGGTTTGCAGTTGATGTCTAATTGTAATTAATCATGGAGAGCAATTTAGGTGGGTAGAGACTATGTATTAAATTATATCTTTTTAATATGTATTATATAGATTTATCTATTTAAAAGAGTGCAGCAGGAACGCCCACTTTTTTTCTGTTACTGTGACTGGTCTTCTAATAAAACAGAATGACTGATTCATATTTTGTTTGAATTTTATTCATTTTGCAAAGTCATTCTTTATGCTCAATTGGATTTTGAGAACTGGGCAGTGAAATGAGATTTTTTTTGCTTCTTAGGCAGTTTTAGTATAAAAAACTATTATTCTAATGTTTTTCTTCAATACCGGTGTTAAGTATCTGGTGGATGAGAAACACTAATACACCATATTTTCTTACATATTTCTTCCTATTTTAAACTAATTTTTTCATTTGAAAATTGAGAAGGAAATTTGTACCAGTAATTTAATTTCTGAAGAATGCTGTTACAGTAAGAACATAACAAATGAAAATTAGTCATGGATAAACTACTGCTAACTATCACAATATAAAAAAATTTAAACTGAATGGTGCAATGGCTCTTAGTGAGCCATGGCCTGCAGTGCCCTGATATCTGTGTTCTTGACTGTTGGCCTTAGGGTATATAAGCATATACACTGGACAAGTGGTCAGCTTGTTGCAGGAGCCCTGGTGTTTAGTCCTCAAGTGAAGTTGGTACTCATTTTATTGACCCACTCAAGGGATAAAAAGTTGAGTCAACCTTGCCCAGCCTAGAGATTGAGCCCCAGACCTGTGGTGGCACTAGTCCCTGCACCACTAGGCCTCATCACAATATTATTTCTTTAAAAGAAACTTACAGTCCAATAAGAATGCATAGTAATATTAACATTACAATATCTGCTGAAAATTGAGCTAGAGTGCAACATGTCTGGTTCAGCTAGCAAGCTTAAGGGACATTTCACTTGAATGAATCTCTACCTCAGTTGCCCTGAGAGACATGAAGGAAAAATGGACAAACAAAAAGACTTGATTTCAAAGATGAAACACATCAACATTATATAAGCTAGAATGTAAATAATAGAAGTAAGATGAAATCACATGTTTGAAAAGTAAGTGTGAGAACATCTGCTACATCTGTGTAGTTTAATGAAAATTCTGCATAAAATAAGTTTCAAATAATAAATGCGAGGGAAAGTAAAATTGGTAAAATGCTAATACTAAAAGGCAAATAGAACCTTAAATAATAATTTTACTGTATAAAATTAATCAAGGGAATACAATTTTAAGATTAAAGTAACCCTCATGGGGTAAAACTATGTACAATAGAGGAAGGGAAAAAATATGTGAATATTTAAAAAAAAAGAACTAGTGTTAAAATAGTGAGGGATTGAGGGAATAGATTTAGTTTATGGCATTTTTATATAATTTTAGTGTTTATTAATTTTGTTTGTATATTTAATTTTTAATAAAATAATATTTTTTCTTCTGAGTAATATTATGATACTTATAAATAACGTGCAATTTCTTTCTCTTTTCCCTCTTTAGGTCTCGGAAGTTCTTTCAGATAAAACTAGGATTTCAGTCAGTGGATGGTTCCATGGTCCAGCACTTAAATCATCTGTTCCATTGAAAGAAACAGTATTGTTCAGTCTTCCTTCGCCAGTTTCTGTATGTTAATTTAAAAGGTATTTGTATTGTCTTTACCAGTTTGAATTCTACATAAAATGTTATGAAGATTTTTGAAATTATTGTTTAATATTTGTTTTAAGATAATACAGGACATTGGCAGATTTTTTTTGCATAGAATTATTTTAAATGAATGGATTTTCTTATAGAAATGCATGCAAAAATAATAATGCTGACTATATAATATATGCACTACCAATAAGGTGATAAAATGTTGAATAGGGAAATTTTATAGATTATTTCAAATAAATTAAATTAAGTGCAAGTCCATGGCTTGCAATATGGAATCTTCATCTAGGTCGAGATTCCCAACCCTTTCATGCTTTCCAAAAAAAGGATCTTATGACCCCCTACAGTTGCCACTATAATATACACACAAACATGAATCTTCCAAATAATAAATATAAAACTTAAAGATAACAATAGCCTAAGAATATAAATAAATTTTGGGGAAAAAAGGTTGTTGATTTTTAATATTTTTTGTATTATTCATTTTTCATTTCACAGATCTAAAGACGTTAGTTTTCAGAAACAATTATTTTTGAAATTTAAAAATAATACAAAAAATATAATTGATGTACTGAGATATACATATATACTATGTTTCTGTATGCATGCAAAGTGAGTATAAATTGAACAGTTTTAAATAATTGAAAACACAGAAAGATTGAAATGGTCTTAATGTAAAGATAAGTTAAAAATACTACAAATCATTTTTATACTGAAATGTGTAGCTGCAAATGCTAGCCGAGTATACTGAGTGAATATACAAGAATAATAATAATAAAAAAGAATACTGGTACTGCAATACAGTATGTTTTATTAGACACGTGTAAGTAACTGCTGCTCCCCCTCCCTCCCCCCCCAAAACTACAGGTAAAGTCCACATGCTAGGAGTAATCTGTTTACCGTAACTGAACCTATTGCATATGAAGAGGATATAAGTTATTTTTGTATATTATTTGTCACATTTTGGATTAAGGTACAACATGCTGCAAAATAGTTCATGCATTTATTTGTACATAGTTTATGTTCAGTTTTGGTGAAGACTATGTTTTCTATTGCAGGTGCATATTGTTCATTCTTGAACATAATGGTTCTTTATATTAAAGATTCTACCTAGATACAATCTATGATATTAATGCACAAACTGATGGTTATTTAGGAAATATTCATTATATAATTTAGTCCCAGTTTACACACGTTCACTACCTCAAAGTGCATATGAGCATTTCAATATTACTGTAAAAATACATCCTATTTCTGCAACATCAATGACTTGAATGATAAGGATTCTCAATATCCAGTGCAATATCTGACAAAAAAAAAATCTTCTAACATACACAAGAAGTTTGAGGGTACATTTTTGTACACAGAAATTATTTGCTTTTGTATTTCTTACTTGTTTTTAAAAGTTGTCTGACACCCTTTTAATCACCCTGTAAAAGTATTTTGTGTTAAACATTTTATTAAAACTTTTAGTTTAATATCTGGAATTGCACGAGAAACATGCAGTTTTATTTAGATCTTTTATTTAGATCCTTTATTTATATTCTTTTGGATACAACATCTCTTAGGATGGGAAAATAATTTTCTATTTTAATAAATACCTGCTGCTCAAAAAGTGTTTTTCTTTTAAATTACACATATAAAATTTTGTTGCATTTCTTTACTGTATAAAATTTTATGTTGAAACATATGTATTTTAAAATTTAATTCAGCATGTGTATCAATATTATATAAAATGCCTAAGTAGATATTTTTAATGTATGATTTATTTATGCCATATTCACTTCACTAGAGAAATATAATTTGTTAGAACAAAAAATAACAAGCCATCAATTCAGTATAAAGTCTGAGATCTGGACGTGTCAGGGCTTACTTGACAATTTTGGATTTCATTTTTCTAGATATTAAATAATTAGTTTAAATCTAGTTAGGATATAATATAGAAAATAAAAATTAAAATAGAATTCTGATTTATATAAAAAGAAGCATTTATGACCTTAAAGAAAATCAAAATTTAAAAAAGGGAAGGGCAGCTCTATTTATTTATTTGCTCTATTAAAAGTTTCTCTTACTGTGAATTGCTTAATTTTCTTCATTTTTGTGCTAGTGCTATCTCTTGAATTCTGTAGGTAGACATAATTTTTTGTTCAGTTTCAAAGTTGCACTTACATCAAGATAATTCTAACATAAAAAATAAAATTCTCTTATAAACATTTTCTTCAAGCACTGTTCTTCTCTGCTGAGATTCTGAATAATGTTTCTTTTGTTGATTTTATGTTGCCATTCTTGGAAAATAATTACAATCTTGCAACAAGAAAAAAAGTTTTACAGAATTTCTGGATCGCGTCATCTAGAGGTGTTTCTTTTTATATGTAATTATATTGTTCATGTTTAGTGCATGTAAAATGGTATATTTCTGGGAGAGCTTTTGACATAATGAACAATTTGACATTTCTTATAACCAGGAAATGCAGTCAGTGAAGGATTTGCATATAAGCTACACATAGCTTAGAGCCCCCTATTTTCTTGGGAGTCTCCCAAAAAATTAAAATATAGTATAACAGACTTATAAGGGGCTCCATGTCTCAAATAGCATTAGGGCCTTATCAAGTTTAAATCTGGCTCAGAATGCAGTTGGGAATATTTCAGCAAAGATAGTGCTCTTCATGATAATTGATCATCATTTCAGCCTAGAAAATTTCTTTAGCTTTTAATTTTAAGCAAGTTTTAGGGAATCAATGAAATGTTTTATCAGATATTTTTTTCTTTAGTAGATAACATTCTGGGGAAAAAAAAAAAAAAAAAAAAAAAAAAAAAAGACTCACTTTGGATGAAGTTTATTATTTCCCTCACATGCAAAACCAATTTACTTTAGAATTTTATGTGAGAATACATGGGTCTTGTGTCACTCTTCTCCTATTACCTACATCTCAAGATGACTTTTTGACAAACTGACAGATTTTCAACTGCACTCATTCTGTAAAGATACTGTATTAGTAATTAGATTTATGCAACAGTATTTTTTTCTGTTATCTAGAACTCTATATTTATAATCTGCATAACTTTCTGATTAGTCTGATAGAATAAGTAGCTGCATTTTTCAGTTAAAAAAAGTAAAATGTGCTGAATAAGGTTTGAGCTCACAACCCTGGCCAGTGAAAGCATGCCTATATGCCACAATAATATATCATATTATTTGAAAATAAAAGAGTTAAGCATGAATACATTGTTTTGAATTCAAATCTAAACCCATTTTGTGAACCATTTTATTAACTATTTAAGATGGCATATTTAAATCAATGTGTTATGATACACAGAAGTTTTTATTTTTTTAATCTGCTATGTTACTGTTTTATGATATTACGAGTCCTGTTTTATGTATTAAACATTTAACATTTGTATTTAATTGATTTTGTATAAATAAATATTTGGGTTTGGGTATAAATAAATCAGTATTCTCATTCTCTTCTTGCTTTAGGTTAATATTACAGACTGGATTAATCCTTTGTATTTTGATGCAGCTACACAGTTAGAAATCCCTTGAAAAACTTGAGAAGAAGCTTGAAAATTGAATTAAGTGATCTTCCTTAAGTGACAAATTTTGTTTGGAACCTTACTGGTCCATTTTTTCCCTGACTAATTAATTCTAAATTATTGTACAAATTGTGTAATACTCAATAAAATATATAATCGGTAGTTGTTTTTAAAAACTAATGGTGCTGTGCTGCACTTTTAAAGAGTTTTTTTTTTTTTTTTTTTTTGTTTGTAAATTGTTTAAGCAAAAAATTAAAATTTTGGTGGTATTTTTTTTTTGGGGGGGGGAATGAATCATGTAATGTCAGTATATTAAAACTTACAGGTGCTGGGTGGATGATCTGCCATATTATGTTCAAAAATGTTTTATTAGAAAAATGCATATCTTTATTATAGTATTAGTCAGCCAGTTTTTTACAGTCTTTTCTTTCGTAAGATTATTTTTATTATTAATTGTGTATTAATTATTCCCCCCGAGACAATTAAAAACAGGAGCCGAGAATCAAAACTCCAAAAGTACTATCCCGTGGTTGCGGGTGTATAAAAATATATTGCCAACAGGCTTTAAGTGGTAGTATGTAGAGACAGAAATATGGTGGGTTTAAGTTAGTTATGTAAAAAAATAATTTAATTAAAAAGGTTATTTTGAATTAATTAAACTTTTATGTTCACAGATTTTGTTATTATGTTGGAATCAAGTTGTTTTGTTTTTTCTGACATTTATTAATTAAATAAATGGTACAAATAATGCCAGTGGTTTGTGATGATTACGACTTGAGCTGTCGAATCTGTAACTGTGTTAAATATTGTAACTCGCAGGAGAAACGGAATTACTGAAGTTTTTGTCATAAGCGTTTTGAATGGTTACTGTACTGTATCTGGACATGTAAAGTGACCTCAACGCGACGGAAAAATATTAGTAATTTTTTGCCTGTCAATTAAGTGAATCAGAAGTTCATGGTAGTGTGTGCTGCTCTAAAGATGTCGCAGGCATGCTCTTTTTTTTTAAAAATATCTTAAGGGAAATTTCCGAAAATGATAAAAACTTTTTGAAATTAATATTTGATTATAAAATATTAATTTTTATATTTTTGATTGCATTGATGATTGTATTTGTAAGCAGAACAGAAAAACAAATTAAAAAACATGAAAAAAAAAAGGAGTGTGTAGGGGGTAGGAGGGGTACTCGCCCTTTAAAATAGGAAGTTGATGGGGAAAAAGAAGAGTTAAATAGGTAGAGTAATAAGGAAGTCCGGGTTAAGTAATTTAGTAAATAGGGAAAGATTCTTTCTAAGATATCAAATTTTTGTTTTGTATTTATTAAAGATTTTTTGTTTGTAGCTTGTAATACATAGTAGTTAAATATATGATTATTTATTGATAGAGACGTGGCGTTGGCACTAAATTCATGATATAAAAAAACGGAGGCCAAATTTGCTATAGTTAGAGAGGAAAAAAAAAAAAAGAGCACTCATTTAAATGGTTAAAACATTAAATTGAGAAAGTTTCGTTGAATACAGATACAGAATTTGAGAAAAGTTTCATAAAGAATTATTTCTTGTGTACCAACATGAGAAACATAAATAAAAAAAAAGAACATCTGAAAAGGTTTTTCAGATTTTTTAGATATAAAAGGGTGTTTTTTAACGTTTTGTGTTGTTACCTTTTTTTTATTAAAATTCTGTTCTTCACACAAACCATAAAATCAGTTCAAAGCAAATCAAAAATAGTTTAAAGGAGGCATATTAAGAATTTTCCGATACAGAGACTCCAGCGCTGGAGATAAAAATGTTTTTTTCTGTACAACATGCCATTGCTGCTTTGAAATCCCTTGGAGTTTGTTAATCAAAAATTCGTTTTATGTTTTACAAACTAAAATCGATATAAAACAAATTTCAAATTTGAATCTTTCCAATGGCCCATATATAGGAGGATTCATATTCAAAAAAATTCGATGGCTCTATGTACTTGTTTTTTTAGTACAATCGTGAGAAATATAAATACTGTTATTCAATTTTTCATTATTAAATTTCTTTTCAAATAAATTAATTCTAACTGTGGAAGCAACAGTTTGAAAAGTGAATGGACAATTTATTGATTCAACGCAAAATTGCAAAATGAAAACAATAGTCCTTCAGGGACAAAGCTGTAAACATCTTTTAATGCTTAAAATTTTTGCAGTTATTATTCACATTTATTTCCAAACAGCTTATCATGTTTTTTCTCTTTTCTAATGCTTTTCTATATGCTACATGCCTTTCTACATGCTTTTCTTTCAATTTCTTATTTGTTATGTGGCTTTAATAATTTTTACCCATGTCAGTTATATGAAAGGAATTTCATAATTTTTAAGTCATTTATGAATCAGTAATTGATTTTTATTTAACTTTGATATTTGATTTAATTGCTTTTTTTTTTCATTATCTATATAGGAAATTTCATGAAATAATTATTGATACTTCTGTTCCTGCAATCTTAAAAGAATGTCAAAATTTATTCTGTTCAGAACCTGTTTTTCTTCTTTTGTCAAATATAACTGGATTGAAATTGCATCCACTTTGTGAAGATGTTGATGGTGATGATGAGGGCAGTGGTGGTTATCATCGTGATAGCATGGGAAAGGTTTCTTCAAGTATACGGAAGTGGAGTCATGGCTCATATACATTATTGCATGATCAATCATTTACTCAAAGTTCTTTTCTAAATGCTCAGCTATATTTCAATTGCTCTGGTGAGGCCCATAACTTTTAAAAATTAATGAAGTTTCATTTTATGTATGATTAATTATTAATTTAATTTAATAACAATTTCAGAATGGGATCCTGAGTTTGGAGGTTATACTAGTTATGTTGCTGAATATGAAAATGAAGAGGTAAGATTTTAAAAATGTTTTTTAATTTTTGGGCTGCCATATCAAGTTTGTGATACATTTCATTCTGTTCTGAAAATGTATCTATTAAATAATTGTTAAAATAAAACTACAGTGATAAAAAGTATAAAAATAAATTATTGTTAGGTATTACTTCTATATTAGAAAGTCCTCCATCAAAGCATCCTTTCTTTTAGGCAAATAGGTCATGTGTTCTTTCCCATATTCAAGCACCCCAACCTTTTTGTTCCTGCAAATTAAGGTGTTGCCTGTTTTTGGCTTAAGTTTGGCATTGCAAGCCTAAAATTTAAATAGGTGTTTGAAAATAACATGTGTTTTCAATAAAATTATTGTTGGGAGTCATATTTGTTAACATTCAGATGGTAAGTTGAAGTCCCAGTATTTAGTTTCCCATCAAAAGCGTGAAAGATACAGGTTATCTTGTAATTGTGCAATTTAATTAAAATCTCTCTTAAGAATCTTTAAGAGAATCTAGTCTAAACCCTGTAACAACTTTCAAAATTGCGTGAGGCTTAGAAATTCATAGAAGAATTGACATGATAGGAAAGAAAAAGAAAATAATGTATAGTCAGCTTCGGCATTAATTGTGCCAAGTCTTTGTCTACTTTTAATGTACAGATGCTGCCTGCCAAAAAACAAATAGAAAAAAACAAAAAAAAATGTATTACATATAACAAAATTAATGAAATAAGCAATATCCTTTATACATATATTAACTATCCTACTAAATAAAATTAACCACTTTCCATTGCCTTCTCTAGCAAACGTCCAGTATCAAGATAACATTAATAAAAAAAACTGCACAGAATTATCGCCCTCATTTTCCAAGTGGTACAGTTGATTTTCAAACAGTCACAGTCCAGTATACAATTGAAAAAACTGTTGCCAAAAACATTCTCTAAAAGAATGAAACTATTCAAAATGATGCGATAAAATCGAAAAAATAAAATAAAAAAAAATCCGATTCATATTTTGAAAAAATCACTTCAAGATGCACTGACTCTTGTCTATACACCAAATTTTGTAGCCCTGGGTCTATTAGTTTATGTGTAGCACAAACAAAAAGACGCACAAACTCTTTCTTTTATTATATGTAGAGATTTGTGATGTTTTATAATTTTTTCACTGTCATCATTATTTTTTTATTTTAAAGATTTTTTAATTTTAAGGTATTTTTCCCCATGGACAGTTATTTGCATTTTCATTCTTTCTTTTTTTTAATATATATAAAAAGTAAGACATATAATTACAATTTCATATTTTGTTTTTAAAGTGCAACCTTTTATAAAACTTTTCATAGCTTATCCTTGCATATAATTTAAAATATGTTAGCATTCTATTGATAAATAATAAATAAATAGATAAATGATTTTATTCCATGTTTTGTAATATCATTTTATCTGATATGAACTAGTAATTGATTTCACTAAATTGTTTCTTTCAGCTTCTTCAAACAGATCCAAAGCCTAATTCTTTGGCATTAGTATATATAACAGAAGGCACTTCACACTTCACAAAATATATCAATCATCGTGTTACTGAGCAACCTGTACCCTTTTTTCACGATATTTTTGCGGTGTACATAGAATAAAATATCTTTTATTTACTGTTCTTTTTGTATCATGTTATATGCTTTTTATGAAAGAAAGAATGAAAATTTAATTTAATTTTTATACAATTATAGGGTCCTAAATGTATACTCAAGATCCTTCAGACCCAATTAGATTGACATGCAAATTATTGCTCCATCTGAAATATTGTAACAAAGTATTAAGAAGGTTTAAATGATATTTTTATTAACTATCGAAACTAACAGAAAGCATAACTTGTGCATACAAATTTAAAAACTGCAAATAAACTTCACCCTTGCAGATATTTAACTCTTTGAAAACCAAAGCCTTTGCTAACCTGCATGTTAAAATATTGAACCACCCGAAATGGTTTTCGAGAGTCCCAGCATTATCCTCCCCTCTCCATCCATTAACGCACAAAGAAGAGTGAAGATTTCAAATTACATCATTTCTACTTCTTACAAATAAAGATAAGAAACCACAAATAAATCCTTTTAGGGCAAGCTATCTGCAATAAACTGATACAGTGCATTTGGGAAAACTGCACCTGCTACTGCATGAGGGAAGAAAACAACATTCAAATTTCGGCTGTTTGGGACAGTTGTGGTCGTTTGAATGAAAGGCCGTCTGAGGCATTATGATCTTCAGAGTTAAAATAACAAATGTCAAATTAAAGGTATTATAATCAAAACCTACACAAATCGGCATATGTAAATTGGCTCAATACTTTGAATGTTGCACATTAATGCTGGCTAGCGAAATGACTAAAGCCGAAATATTTGCTGGCAGAGCTGGGTAATAGAACGTAAACTGCAAGCATCACAACCAAAAGCTCTATATCTAAAACATTCAAAATCCTTGACTTAAATCTATTTCCAACTAGTTTGAATTCTGGAAAAGGTTATGAAAAAGAGAAGTTATGGGCAAGGTTTAAATCATAATAATTGTTAATTAGCATAAAAAACTTTGCACAAGGAAATGTAATGCTACATTTCTTATGTTCAAACACTGTTATTTTAGGCCTGCCATCATGTTAAACTATCAGATCTGAAAGAGAAACATCTTAAATATGTAACGAAAGTAACAAAGACCAAAGGTGCAATATATCTGTACATTTTTATCGTACAAACAGAAGGAGAACAGTCTACCATTTATTGTTGGTGCAGACCTGCTGTTTATCAATACAATCAAGCTAGTATATTTCAGTATAAAAAGGTTATGACATGATTTTTTCACTATGACCCAACTGTTGGATGGCATATAGTGATTGCTGTCGCATAGCACGTAAACTTATGAACTGGAAACCCAAAAGAGTTAATGTTGTTAACCACTTATTCCTTTTCTCACTCGTTCGGAAAGGGGCGTGATATGACACTCTCTATAATATAACTCTTTTTTCAATATGTATTTGAAATACTAACGAATTTTTTATCTTTTCATGTATTAATAAAGAATGTGTTTTGTGATCTTAAATTTCCCGTCTACGCCTATTTGATTACAAGTAATAAGTATGATCTTGCGGATGCTGTGCTGAATACAGGTAAGAATCATTTGCTCTCTATTTTTATTAATTTGTTGTGAAATTTCGAGGCTATAAAATGTTTTACAACACCAACCATATTGTGCTGATATAAAACTGAGATCGAGGAAATACTTGTCGTATTATTGGATATGTTCCTAAACTGTAAACCTAAATTTCTTAGTAGCATACCTTGTTTCCTATGATTTCATCCTGAATGTGATCTTTGCTTTTCTACATGGTCTGTAGCTTGCATCTGAAGACATCTGTTCTTATGTGATTTAAATGGAAAAATCACAAAATATGAGACATAGTAAGTGTGTCGGCAATGCTTGAAATAACGTAGCAAAATAAGATGCTATGGAAAGACTTGCATCACAATTTGCTTGTATACTGTTATTGTTAATGCATAGTACGTTACTAAGATAGTTCTGCACTGACTATGCAAATGGTGTACTGTGCTTTTTCTATCTGAAGCCTAAAATTTTTTTTTATTATTTACATTTCACAATAGAGTGATTTATATATTATTTAAAATTAGATCCTTTATAAAATAGTTACAGGAGAGCTTTCAAACAAGTTGTTATGGAGTTGGACATCTTAAAAATGTATTGATTTTTAATTCCCAGTCTTTCATTCTTCCAATAAAGTAATTAAAAAGATTAAATTTAGGATTAAAAGATTAAATAGAAATTTTAACATTAGAACCATGAGAGTGAATAACCAGAATGCTGGTAAACTGGTAAGCTTTGCTTATATGCATTTGAAAATGTGTTGGGTCACATGAAAAGGCGCCTTCTTTTTATTCATCTACAGTTTTTTTAATGATGAATATAAAGCAGTGCTTTCATTGAATCACATAAGCATAATTTTATTCTATAACCTTTTGCCATCTTTCAGGAAGCTGAAAAATTCCTTTTTAAAGAATGCTATTAGGTTTATTCATAAAAAAAATTATCAATGTGCTATTTGACAGCTTTAAAAAAAAGTGAACTCTAGGCCTTAATATTAATTTGAAGATTTGAATATCTGAGAGGAGGTCTATTGAATATGGGAGGTGATGCAAAATATCTCAGTTGTGTTCAATAAGTTTTCGTCTAACATTCATCGAAATGTGAGGCCAAGCATTGTTAAAGACAACACCTTAAGGATTGGTCAGCTCTGGGCACTTTGCTTCAATTTCTGTTTTTAAAATTGCCACTTGGGAATATTTTTTCTGAATTTATTGTCTAATTAGGTGGCAACAACTCATGTATACAATTAATTTTTTTGTAGTCCCACCATACACAAAACATTACTTTTTTGGCATACAGTCCTGCCTTTCGATGTTAATAAAAGTAAGTTCTTTTGACTTATTGGCTTGTTTTTTTCAACTAAGAATCACATGCCAAAAACATGAGCAAGCATATTCTGCTCTGTTAAAGTACGGGATATCCATACATCGTAGCAGCTTACATATCCAGTCTTCTCCAAACGATTTTGTACTCTACTTTTTGGGATATTTATGCTGTTTGATAGTTCTTGAGCTGTATAACTTAAATTTTCAACTACAGCTTCTTTTAATAGGTTCTTGTTCACAGTGAATTGTCATTGAGCTGAGGCATCATCTTCGAGGATGAAATTTCCACACTTGAACTTCTCAAAGCACCTTCAAACTATATCATTAGAAATAGCACTTTTTTCATATATAGCAAAAATTTTATGAGCAATCTGATTGGCATTTTTCCTTTTTAAAAATTAAAGAATATAATATGAAGAAAATGAAATTTTGGGTTTTACATTCTTAGT